CTGCATACAATTCCTTGAATTCATGACACCTGTGTAAAGGTGTCATTAGACCAGGCTGTAACTCTGTCAGGCATATTTAAGGAAAAGTTTATCAAGTGGTAGATTTGTTTGCCAATATACTGAAAAACTCACAGTGACCCTATAGGACAGGGTCATAGAACCTCTGTGGGTTTCTCAGATTGTAACTCGTGATAGGAGTAGAAAGCCTCGTATTTCTCCCAAGGAGTGCCTGGTGGTTTTGAACTACTGACCTTGCACTTAAGTACATCAGTGCGTCATCCACTACATCAGCAGGGGCACTATGAGTTGGTATCGAATCAATGGCAATGAATTGGTAGGAAGACAGTGAAAAAAATGTATTCTGAGACGGTCTGTGAGGAAATTGAAAATTTAATTTTTTTTTCCAACAAACCTAGCCCAGTTTACTTATGACGCCTCTATTTGAGTTTTGTCTGCTACAAAGCACACCCTGCATGGGCACTGTGAGACAGAGAGGCAGTGATAAGGACCCTGGTGATAGTGTACTGAATGGTGCCATTGCTCCCCCTTGACAGACAGCTCTCCTGGCCATGAGCTCATTGGACCTTCACAGTCACCATAGGAAGTAGACAGGCAGGTGGTTTTATCCCCACTTTCAAATCACTTGCCCAGGATAGAGCCCCAGCTGACTAGGCGCCCATGTTGCCTAAATCCTCAGCTAATTCTTTTTCACTTAACTATAAAAACGTTCTTTGTTTGAATGATTAAGACGGAGCAGAGTCCAGATTGGTGTGCTTTAAGGAGGACTTTGACCGACTGTCTTTGAGTTATGGAGCCTCAGCTGTGCTTATGAGGTAGACCACCACAGCCGTTCCCATGATGAAGGCTGGCCTAGATCAGGAGCATAGGGTTCATGTCTGGGAGGCCCCTTTGCAGCCCCCTGGCTACAATACCAGGCTATTCCTTTAGTAAATCTAGGGTCACATCATAGGTGCCTTATTTCCCTACAGATAATTGTTTCTAATATCTATAATATTAGGAATCTGGCTTTTAGAAGTTTCTTCTTTCATCCTTCGGAGAAGACGATCGATGTCAACAAGAATTGATCTCAGCCAAGGAGAACAGCAGCAGCAGCAGCAGAGGAAGCAGTGGCTCGTTACCGCATGCAGATTCTGCTCCTGCGCAGGAATAGCTGGGCAGAGATAAGCCCTGGACAGGCGGTTGGTTTTTCACAGTATAGCATGGCCATTAGACAGTGGGGATAGATGGGGCTCCCACTTGCTGCTTGGGAGATTTCTGGTGTTTAATTCTGAACACATGATCACTGTTTTCCAAAGTACAAATTGATACAGCATACAGAGAGGAGAACTGTAAGTGAACTCTGCTGC